GGGGAAAGCAGGAAAATAATGTAAAAAATTGGATCAGGTATGAAAAAAATCAAAGATTTTTTTTTTTTCAAAACCATACTGCCCCGCCCTTTTAACCCCTTCATGATATTTGCTTACCAGCAGCGCTCTTATACCAACATTAAATTTCAGATGCAAGGTGCCACTTGGCTTCAAACCAATGTTTGTGTTCAGAAGTCATAACGTCCTGGGGTGATCTTAGAAGGAGGTAGAAGAGGGACGTGGCACATCTTCTTCCTTAACAGCCCTTGAGGTCAAATCGGGGGGGAAAATAATGAATAAAAAAAATTGCTCAGGAATTTTGGTGTGTAGCAGAGGAGGGGGGTAGGTGAGCGGAAGAGAAAGGGAGATGGTAATGAAGGAGCTAATTGCTTCCAGTGGATTTTGAAATCGAACTCCAGCCCCCAGTGCTCAGTCCAGGCAGCACACAAATGGAATATTGATGACCGTGGTGAAAATAAGGCGGAAAATGACCCTGCTTTATGATCAATATGAAAGCCACATATCTGTGTGCAGCGTGTCTCAACAGGCAATACATTTCCCCCCGGTTTTTATGGATCAGTATACACTTACGCCCAGATACGACTCTGCTGAGGTGCGCAAATGCTACCTTGTATCAATTTGCACTCTCCTTTATTCGTGGCAGAGATGCTTTATCGATGGTTTGTAATTGCATCGTAATTACTTGATGGTTTGTAATTCCATCGTAATAATTAATGTGCGCATGGCAGACATGTTCTCGATGGTTGCTTTTTGTTTCTGTTGCTGCAGTTTTGGGGCAAATGGAACGACCGGGCTGGATCTGAATCATGGTTTTTAAAGCGAATGTTGCTTTTTCTGTCACAAACTCATACCTGGGACCTAATCTCATTTGTTTGAGGCATTAAATCCCGATTTTTGTGCGAAGATCAGAGCTAATCTTAAAAACTAGCTCTGAGATCAAAACAGTACTTATTTATTTATTTTATATTTGGCTGTTTAGAGGATTATTTCCACAACCAAGTTGAGCATTTCAGCCTGAGGATTGACTCACTGCGATGTCTGGCACTCCAGCTTTGGCTTCAGTTCATTCCTCCCCTTAAAGGCTGCCAGCTGTGAAGAAGTAAACAAAAATGCTACCTTTGATTATAATAATCATGTCAAGAGGAATCCTTCTGAACTACAGAAACCTGTTTTGCAATCTGAGCCGCGGTCCTCCGACGAGCTAATTAGAGAAAGGATGATAGATAAGAGGAGTTGCCATGGCGATCACCTTTGCAGCATGGGTCAGGTGAGAGCAGCACGGGGCTCGGGTTTCTGGCTCAGATGAGAAGGATTTTGATGCTGTTGGTTTGCAGAGAAACACAGTTCTTCATTAGCTTTTAGTTACTTTTGCTTTCATAAGTAAAGTTGAGAAACTGTCACCATTCTTGCGAAAATAAGTCATGTAATATCAGAGATAATGTGAGAAAAAAATTAAATGGAGCTTCCAAATGAATATTTTTATGTATTAAAGGGAAAAGCTATGCAGACCAACTAGTAACTCATCAATTAACTATCATTAGCAACATCCTTGTAGCTGACTTGAACGTCTCTTTTAGGTATAAGCCTAAAACTGATGTTATTTCAGAATTCATCCACACAATGTCAAGAACACATTGCCAGTTACAGTTTAACTGTGACAAAACTAGAAGAAATCTGTAAGGAAGACCATACTTTTTTTTACCTCATTGTATTTTCTAGGGAGAAATTGTCTCACCACCGTCTCTGGGTTTAGCCTGCTGTACTCCGGATGCTCAGTGACGCCAGCTCGGGCATCGAGCCAGTGTAACCACATTGTTGAGATAAGCATCAATATTTCATTAGTCTTCTGAAAGACTTTTTGGAGAAATGGCTCTGGCAGATGATGATGATGATGATGATGATGGAACTGACATGTCTCATATTGAGTAACTGTAGCATTATCATTTTGCCGTCAGTGTTCCACCCAATTGTTGAACACAGAAAAGTACAATATTACCCGAGCATAATCAGCAAGGTCTTTGCGGCGCCGTCGACGCTTGATCATTTTCTTAGATTCCGCCCGAGAATGAGAAGAACGGGGAATCGTCTGTGTATCCCTCTGTCCTCATGCATCAGTTTTAATAATGGCTTTCTATTTATTCTCCTGGCACAGGAAGGAATGATTTCACTGTGCCTTTGTTGCCTCCTGTAATATTTCCTTTTGTCTGCTGCGTGAAGACTTTGGTTTTGAAACTGCGGGGAGAATTTCTCCTTGGCTGGAATGCGCGGCCTGCCGTCCCTGCAGCACCGCTGCCTCGTCCCATTTGTTTTCCTCGCTGTGTTTACCTTCTTGTTTTTCCATTCATCTGTGCCTTTGCCAGCTGCACAACACTGCTCCCTCATGTTTACAGACTGACTGATCCGGCACAACAAACAAACGCATGTGCTAGGTATCCCTTTCATTTCAGTTTTTCCCCAGTCTTGCGCGCCGTGTCATTTTTCTTCTGGCCACACAAAGGGAATTGCAGGTCACAGTGGAAATGAAATGACTATTTGAACTTCTCTTTTCCTGTCTGCTGGCAGGTAATGACTTCACCATGTCAGAATTCCATAGCAACACATTTGGTTTGGTATGTTAACATGTCGTCTTGTGAAGAGTCTCACAATGGGTGCTGTGTGTTTGCTATGTCAGTTGTCAACTTCAGTCACAGAAAGTATTCACACCACTTTACCTTTCCTGCTATCTGTTGCATTACATTCTCAATCTAAGAGATTTCAGTATTTTTTTTCTCTCAAAGATCAAGACAGAGTATCCTATAATGACAAGCTGTGGTTATAAAACCCAAATGTCAGACTCTATTAAGTGAAAAACCAAAGATTAGAGGTGGGTCTTCAAAGTCTCTTTTTATGGATTGGTAAATTATTCGGGAATTATGGAGCAGCAACTGAGACAGAGAAATCATGTCTGCTTTTCTGTTTGAACCTAAGAACATCTGAGAGTAAATGGTTTCTTGGTGTCCTTGTTCATGTGGCTGTGTAATGATTTATAATCTTTAAATATAATAGTCAAAATCATGATATAAAACTCACACTTATGATTCTAAATGAGCTGTCAAATCATACAGGGTTTCTCCCAGAAAACTTGCTAAGCTCAGGTTACTAGGGTAATCATCCAGCCGGCCGCCATGTTTTTGAGTTAAAAAATGTTCAAAGTCAACAGGAAACTTGAAAATATCACTTTATAGCTATGCGTTATTGGAAGACTGAAATATTAATACCTAAGGACCAACTATAAAATCTTAAAAAGGCAATAATTAAAAGAAATTAATAAATAAATAAATGATGCGAAGCCTGGTGGGCGCACAGGTAAAGCCTGGTGCCCCGCCAGGCTTATAATACATTGTGGGAAACTGATACATCTGTAGTCAAAACAAAATATATTTAGTATGAAAGGTATGAAAGGAAAGCTGGAAGGAGTCTGTTCTCTCCAATGAATTTACCTTCATTTAGTTGTGTTGATGAAGATCATTTTATTTCATCCATGTTTCAATACTGGTAAAGTCAAAAGAAGCTTCACATTTATGAAAAAAAATATCCTAGAGGCAAAATGTAATGAGATCTAAACAGGCCTTAGAGTAGAACCTTGTGGAATGCCACATGGAAAACTTTTTTTACTGGTTAACAATATTTGTCTTTTGCTAAGTACGAAGCTTCTATCCCTAAATAAGTTCTCTACTACTCTAGAACAAATCTCTTGATATCCGTATGATTTTCCCGTCTCCTCCTTGAGGATGCGATAAAAGAATATCATGATCTAAGGTGTTGAAGGTAGCAATTAGGATTATGGAAAAAATCTTGAGGCAGTGTGCAGCAGCAGTACATTTTGTAGTCGGACTAAATCTTCACACAGATGTTTCCTAAGAAAATTTGAGTTGGGATGAAAACTTAAGAACTTTTCAAAGAATGGGATATATCTAAATGTTCTTTTTGGATGCAAGGCTTCAGCACAGGATGTAATTAATACTTCCTGCCTGAGCTAACCTGATCCACATAAAAAAAAAAAAAAAATCATAGAAACTGTCAACCATTACCACATATTGTTCTTTACTTTATGGAAACAGTACCCCTCGTTCACTTTCCATCAAAAAGGCAACTTTATTTTTGCTCTCAGAAATGAGCCCCCGCCTCGTCTCACATTACTCTGTGTGCTGATCTGAAAAGAAACGGGATCAGGAAGTGACCTTGTAGCAACAGGGTAATGTAAAAACTGTAAAATCGGACTATGTTTGATTTATGCTTGCCATTAGCGAGGAATTGTGTTCCATCATAAGTAGTCTGTCTGTCTAAAGGGCCGTACGTGAAACCTGAAGCCAGGGTCATACAGATCGGATTTTATGATCTGAACTGAACGATAGGTTTGTTGCAGCTGTAATTATGGGGAGCAGTGTATGTGTGTGGGTTTTTGGTGATGTGTGTACAAGATTGATAGTCATCTATAATGACATTCCTTGTACTGTGATTTTGTTTTTAAAGGTGTTTTCACCTCTTGAACTTATTTCACATTTTGCCTCGTTGCCAATTTCGCAATAATTTCAGAGTTTTTGTGGGACTTTATGTGATAGACCAACACAGAACAGTGCAGAATTGTTGAACATCTAAAGCATAAAAGATGTGGCATATATTTATACTTCTGATATCCCTAAACAAGCTATAACCCATTGACAGTCAAACATGTTAACAAGGATGTATCAAGTTTGTCATTACAACATGTCATGATGTGAAGATGAGTTTCAATACTTTTGCAATGCATTTAATTTGTTAATTCTTCATCACAGTTGGTAATTATGCTTTACTTCTAAGGTGCTAATAGGTATTTTAGGACCTTTGAAGATCCTAAGATAAATGGACAAATATTTGTGGTTACGACCAGTAAGATGTAGTCGATTCCAGTTTTCAATGCGCAACAGTAACGTTCAGGTTTCCCTGTCTTGCCATTTCAGCACGAGAGGAGAATGTGGCCACCTTCCGCGGCTCGGAGTACTTCTGCTACGACCTGTCGCAGAACCCCATTCAGAGCAGCAGCGATGAGATCACGCTGTCTTTCAAGACATGGCAGCGGAACGGCCTCCTCCTGCACACGGGGAAGTCCGCCGACTACGTCAATCTGGCCCTGAAAGACGGGGCGGTTTCCCTCGTCATCAACCTCGGTTCTGGGGCCTTTGAGGCCATCGTAGAGCCAGTCAATGGAAAATTCAATGACAACTCCTGGCACGACATCAAAGTGACACGCAACCTGAGACAGGTAATCGGGGGTAACGGTGATGGATGGAGTTTGAGATTTTTCTTTTTTTTTTCTTCTTCTTTTTTGTTCTGTATAGAAGCTGCCTTGAAGAGCTTTGGAGAAACCTTTAAGAAACTCATTTTTATCTTATTGGTTGTCATTTCATCTCTACAGTTTGGAAACATTATTAAGAAAACAGATTTCATTATTCGTTTGGTTGTGTTAAATTCACACAAATTCCTTTTATGCTATATTTATTGCCTTGTTTATTATAATTTAGCGAATAGACTAAGTAGCACTCTATAGGAGTATGAGATTTGATTATTACACTCACTAATAAAAAAAAGAAAAGAAAATCAGGAAGGAGTGATACAATTTGGGTATAATTTGGTCCACATACAGACCAGTTATTGGTAGTATTTTGATTTGTATTGACCTAGCATGATGAGTAGAGGGGTAGTTTTACAGCCAAGAGCAGTGTTATAATTGAGGAATAATGTTCTCTAACAGAACTAAGAAAATGCTGTGAGTTGTTGGGGTAATCCTACAAGGAAACCCGTTTGAGCAGCAAAAGATTGGAGGATAGAGCAGGGATGCACCTTTATGCAGATGTATCCAGAACTACAATGGACCAATGTAATCCATATTCCTGTTTTAGAATGACCTCATATAAAGAATATAGAATCGAGTTTGTGACATCTGTTTGTACTAGATTCAGCTATCAGATAGCAACAACTTGCATTACCATACAGACTAGCATACCAAGCCATTCTTCAGCAGGGCAGAGAAGCTTGTTGGCATTAATAAGAAGATGGATTAAGCGAAATACAACACAAGCTCCTGGGTGCTAAACCTGCTTGTTTTACAAGTGAGTGAAATATTCAAATCTCTACTTGACGTTATGAGTTAAGAAATTCTTTCTATTGGCGTAGGGCCTGTTGTTTTCTGCAGCTCAACGATGTCCAATAATGCTCTTGTACTTTTGTAATTATGTAAGCTGACAGTGTTCCTGGGTTCCTTTACCGTCTCCTTGCCTTAATTAGGAAAACGGTTTCTGTTGAGGTGTAGCGTTTAAATTTTAATTTAAAGCCAAGTAGAAAGTGTTTGAGTCATCCATTACTGCTTTGCTGCAATTACTGTTTTATATATTCCAATTATTTATAATTAGCTTGTATTTTGCGGTTCAGTGGAGCTAATATGAATCAGCGGAGTCCTTGTGACGGCTGTAGAAAGATGCCAACGGACTTTACAGAGCTAGCGGTATGTGAAGGTAACTCTAGCAGGATGTTGGGTTTGCCCATTGTCCCGGTTGACCTTTAGTTTGTCGGGTAAGACAGCATTTAGTGTTGCTGTCAGAGCAGAAATACAAGTAAGTGCTGCTTTTCTAACCCTTTCTGACAGTAAGCCTTGTCCCACAGGTTAGTAAGTAGTCGTAGCAGGAATTCCCAACAGAGGCTTGGTTATAGGCTAAGAGCTGAAGCTTGTCACTTTTCCTCACTGTCTCACTTTCTTTCTCTGTCATTTCCTTTCCTCTTTCAAAGGAGCACTTTGTTAGACCAAAGGTGGAAAAACACTGCAGGTTTTGCTGGAATCTGAGCCATCCCATGCAAATGTCTGACAGGACGTCCGTTTAGCTTGTGTTCTCGCAGGACTCCGGTGTAGGAAATTTGCTTCGGATGGCACGAAGGCACCGGATTACTGCTGCCTGATCTCTGATGAATCACGTAGTGTTTATTCACCGCTTTACTAACTCATCCATGTTGAATTCCATTTTTTTTTTTTTTTTTTTGGTTTTCTTTACTACTAACCAATTTCTAACCAACTAATGTACTAACTGACATCCTAATTCTTCATCGTTGCTTTTGGTTTTTTGTTTTCTGTCCATCCTTATTAACAACCTTTTTTGTTCACTATTCTGTTGATTTCCTTTCTTCCCCTTTTTCTGGAAAGCAATCAGGCATTGGACACGCTATGGTAAACAAACTACATTGTCTGGTAGATATCATTCTTATTGTCTTTTTTTTGGGTTTGCCGTGTGTCCCCTCCCCCCTCTCTTCTTTTATTCGTTCTCTTTGAGTTCCATCCTAGACACTCTTATCAAAAAATGAGGAGATGGGTTTGTATTACCAGGCAATTCTTTCTTCGCTTCTTCTCAATTTCCTCCCTGACCTGCCAACAACCTCCTTCTTTACCCCACAATCCCCCATCCTGTTCTTTTCACTTTGGCTTTTACTTTTTTTCTCTTTGTTTCTTCCACATTACTACAGATTTCCGACAAGTTAAATGAAGGAAAAAAGAAAAATAAATTACTTCTTTGCCTTTAAAAGGGCAACGTACTTTTTTATGTTAATTTTTCACACAAGAAAGTCCCCATTTTTTGTGAGGACTGTCGTCAAGAACTGACAGAAGCTTACCACAATCTCCAAGTTGGTGACCTCGACACCGAGCCCTAAAAGAGACGCCGCCATTAAAAAAAAAAAAAAAAAAAAAAAATGGCATCCCTTAACCTCAATTGCGGGAGCTCTGACAGTTGTTTCCAACTCACTATGGCGCATGGCATGCCCACACCTCATCAATCGACCTGTCATCTGCCAAACTCATAGATCCTCAGCCCCACCACCCAGAATAACCACTAACACTCTAATCCATTCACTCACCCTCCATCTGTCACTGTACCACTCACTCTGCCCTCCCTGTCTGTAGTTTTTTGTAGCATGCTGGTGAAAAGGTGTCTGTGTGTTTTGATAACCCCTGGGCCCATACGCGCAACATTTCACAGAACCAGCACACTGATCTTGGATTACTGGTCTGGTCTGGTGACACTGACAAAAGAAATACTAGAGATGCGCCGATCAAGGTTTTTTCTGGCCGATACTAATATGTCAGATTTTTTTTTTTTTTTGACCAATTAATTTTTGAAATGTAAAAGGATAAATGGAATAGATGTAGTTGCTATAAATCCAACAGAAAATTGGGGGTAGGGGGGTGGGGATGGGGGAGTCTCTTCTAGTGTTATTAGAAAAGCTACATTTCAGTTATTCTATCCAAAATCTAAATTCTCAAATTTTGCGTCTTTTGGGGAGTACTTTTTTTTTTTTTTTTTTGTAGTTTTTTTTCTCCTCACAGATCATGAAATAACAAAATGTTATCCATGATCTGAAAAGAGCTTAAAGTAACTTCTTGGCATCTGAACAAATGTACAGCAGTTTAAAATACTTAGAGAAATCTGGACTGGGTTTAACGATCAGAATTGACATGTATGTTAATGTCAGGATATTTATAAATGATCTGTGAAGCTTTGTTAGATATCCTTGGCTGAACAAACATAATGATCAATTGTTGGGATGTTTAAAGCAGGATTGAATTCTAATATATCTCAAGTTTTTGAACATCTCATAAAGTGTTGTTCAATTCATCGTTAGCATATGTCATAGCTTCTGTTTCTTTTCAGTATAGTAGTTTTAAATAAAATAGAAAATTATAAGATTATCCCAATTCATGCGTCAGTACTCTACTTTTCCCAAATTAAGAAAGAATTGCAATATTTACTTCTGCTTCAGAATACTTTAGCAAAGCTAAATTCCATAGCCTTGACTCCAGATTAAAACCCAAGTTAAAATGATAAACACAAATAACATAACTTTTTTATTTTTTTATTTTTTATTTTTTTTGAAAGTCTGTTTAACTGTTAGTAACTCAAACAAAAATGAAAGCTTCATAAATATACTACAAATATTAATCAATGTAAAATTATTCATTTTTGTAGGAAATAAAATTTGATGGTTTAAGCAACTGAATAAGAAATGGAGCCTGGAAACTCATTAAGACTTTCACGATGATAAAATCAGATTCTGTTCTTTTCCCCCATCTACGACTGCATAGACACCTTAACTTTTATGTAAATTCTACTAAAAGAATATCACAAAATATGTTGTTGGTTGATGAGGTTAGAAATCAAAACGGGTTGCAGTTATTAGGTTGGATACAATTTATAAAAAAGATAAAGAAACAAATCAGTGTTTGACCTGGCTATTTGTGCCAATTGGTTGGTGCATCTCTAGCAAAAAAAACAACAACAAAAAAAACAAAACATGACACTCGATCTAAACCTGATCAGAGATCAGCTTCTGCTACTCTGCGATCTTGCTCGTGTATGGGTTCCGGTCTTGCATGAGCCTCTGTACCATGTGTGCATGTTCCAGATCTGTATGCCACCATCAAATCCACGTTCCATCTCCAATTAAAGTGTGCTTAATTTGCTTTTCTAAGAGTTTTGCCTTTGGTTTGCACATTGATGTGGTGTTTTTTTTTTAAAAAAAGCCTCCCTTTGTTTTGCATGTGCGTGGATTTACAGATGTAGATGTCCAGAGGAGTGTATGAGTCGGTTTGAATGAGTGAAGGTGTGTGTTGGACTGTGGATGTGTGTGTGTGTCTGCAGTAAGAGATAAATCCCGAAACCTAAGACAAGTGGAATCAATTTGTCCTTGGTTTGAACATTGTACTAACCCTCTCCCAACCTGAAGTTTCAGAATCAAACCTAAGATCCATACTCTTACCCCCATCAAAGATAAAGAAAATATGCCTGTGCCATATTTTCTTTACCTGTCCTGTGAATCCTTTGGCAACAAAAAATTCCATTAACCCCCCCGAAAAAAAAAAAAAAATCTAACCATTCTCTGGTCCAAAACAAGAAAAAGCTTCAAGGTACCAAAAGAAAAAAAAGTTCATAAACCTGAGTTGAAATGCAGACCAAGGAAGGAAATGTGCTTTGTACACAACACGGGAGCGAATTCCAGAGTGTAATGGCTTGGCTTTGGCTATGTGTTGCGCCCCAACAGGTGACGATCTCCGTGGACGGCATCCTCACCACCACCGGCTACACGCAGGAGGACTACACCATGCTGGGCTCCGACGACTTCTTCTACGTGGGCGGGAGCCCCAGCACGGCGGACCTGCCGGGATCTCCAGTTAGCAACAACTTCATGGGCTGCCTCAAAGAGGTAAAGAGACATCATCAAGAGAGCAGGTGTATTTCTACATCAGATGTTCAATGCAGTCACAAAAACAACGATTTTGGAGCCGTGCTGTCACGTAGGCAGCTGTTAGCGCTCTGTTAAACGGTGACGCTGTCTTTGAAATGCACAACAAATGGCTATCAAAACCCATCGAAAGGCCCAGGAGGATAAGGGGGGGAGCGATAAAATTGAATTATCAATTAAAGGTGCTGAGTTAGCAGAGGAGGAATCAGACTTTCAATATCCCTTCACTTAATCTAATTCATAACACTTACTGCAGTTGGTGAGCAAGAAAATACCCCAAAATTGCTTCTGTCACAGGCAATTTGCAGAATTGGCTTGAGTGTGTGGCTAAAACGCCTCCCGACGGGCAGCGTTTTCAAAGAGATATTTGCTTCTGATGAAACAAAGCAAAACTGGACCACTTTTTCTATATATGTTGTGTCTTTGAGCTCACCAGTTGTGAGAGAGCATGTACTAATTGCTGGTGTTTTAAACATGCTTCAACCTTGCTGACTTTGAAGTAATCTCTGCTGTTTGAAGAACTGTATCGTCTTTTACGTTGGTTTAAACTTCAGTTCCTTGTTACTTGTAATAATGATGTGATGGATTTTATTTGGCCCCTCAGAACTACGAGACACCACAGCATACACGGTGTCATTTCTATAGTTAGACAGTCAAAGATAGTAAAATAATTTCAGTTGTTTATTTGTAAGAGGAAAAAACACGGGGTTTCGTTTTCCATAGCTATATTTCCACCATGTTTTTTTTATACAAATGACAGTTTCAAATATTTATTTCGCTGCAAGCTAATTATTTAGTAAGCAAGCTAAATATTTAGTTTGAAGCTAAACATTTAGCTCAAAGCTTAAAAGAAATGGACTACTAAAATAAACCTGGGTCTTGCTAACCTCTTTTATTAAACTCCTGCTCACAAGGTTCAGGAGTCGCCTCTCTATCTTTGTTCCCCCCCGTTTTTTAACATTTCAGCTTAAAACAGAGGATGAACCATCTTAAATACAATACAGACGGCTACTAGCCTGACCCACATGAGTTTACCCAGAGCCCTGCAAGACCTAGCTTTTATTTTGATAGTCTACTTCTGCTCATTATTTAAGTGTTTAATTATTGAGCTAATTAAACGCTTAGCTACAACATGGCTAAATAGTTAACTGACCAATGAAATATTTAGTTTGAACTTGTGACTTTTAGGAGTACAAAGGTATAAATATGACTTTGAAAAATATGACTCTTATGACGAGCTTTACAGTGACAGAAAACATTATGTAACGTCGCGATGCTGTCATCTCAGTGTGAACCTGAGTCTCACAGGAATCGCTCCCACAAAGCATATAACCATATAAAGTCAATAACTGTAAGTTTACATTTTAGCACAATCTTTTCCCCTGAAGCTGACAGAACAGATCAATCTGACCAATTAGAGGAGAGAATGTTATTTTGTGCTTGAAGTCCATAGTACAATTTATTTTGGTTTTCTGAATAAAGATATCAAAGTGTTTTTTCTTTTGTTTGTTTGTTTTTTACTGTATTTCAAAACTCTTTCTCATATCTGTATTTTTCACCCTGTTCATCCTGGGTGTTTCATTTACATTTTTTCAAAGCTGGTAAATCTATTAATGTTCTAGCTAGCTGAGTGGGCTACCATCCAAAAACAGGATGGTACACAAAGAACAATACGCACACACACACACACACACACACACACACACACAAACACAAACACAGCTGCTGTCGCTGCCAGGTTTGGTACAGTTTATGAAAAGTCACCTTGTCCACAATGAAGTGAATTTCTTCATACTACCTGTGAATCTCACACAGTTGTTCCATTGGTCATTAATCTCCAGGTGCTATAACCTCTGCAAGGGTTTCAGAGAAATGAAAATTGCGTCATAACCAATTTCTACCCGTTATTGTTTTTTAATTATAATAGTGACATATTTATTTCTTGTTAATTCAGTTTAATAAGCAACAAGCTGAGCAGAGAATCCACATTATGTCATCAGACAAATGCATATACCTTTTTTCTGATTTTTTGCCACTGACTGAGGCCTTAGTAACTACATATAAACAAGGAAATGAAGTGATGGCACTTAAATGATATGAATGAATCGTCTGACGGTCTTAATGTTGATCTGGAGGCTGAATTCAGGCTCTGTTTTGTCTTGGTCTATTACATAAAATCAAAATAAAATTCAGTGAAATATGTCGTTAGAACATGCTAATGATAGCAAAATTTAAAGGAGTATGAAAACTTTGGTGTTTCAGCCACTTGCATCATGGTAAATATTGACAAAGAAACTTCACTTCTTCCTTCTGATCAATATTACTTCATAAAGTTTTCATCCTTGAAAAATGTGTCTTCCCTTCCTTTTTGCACCCTGGAGGGATTAGTTGACATCCAGTAGCTGAAATATGCGATGTGTTGTTCAGATAAGCTTCCAACAGACTCAGCTGTATAAACTCCCCAAGTTTGGGCTAATTGCTTGCCTTAGAATAATCCCACAGCGTTTTAATTTGCTCCAAATGATTAATGAAAGTTCTGTGGAGAAGCCATGTGGTCCAGTGTTCTGCTTACAGATGCACAGTGAGTTCACATCCAAGCTTTCTCACCAATATTTCAGCACAGCTTCTGTCTGGTCATAATTGGTCATGTTAATTATGTTATGTATGTACGCACTCCAAAACACAAATACGGGCCCAAAAAGGCACTTTAAGCAGTCAAAGAAACCATCCATTTTCAAGGATTCACCTATGATACATAAGAGATTACCATCAAAAAAAGTTCATCGAACATCTGGTTTAATAAAAATCATTAGCTCAGATCTCATTTAACTTTTACAATTTCTTTAAAATTGCCTCCAGCTGGATAGATTACTTCTTTTTTTTCCCCTGGTCACATGTGTGCAGCGCTCTTCAATGAGCCGCTTGGTTCTTCCATAATTTAAATCACGCACTTCGGCAGCCAGTTGTCTGTTTACATATCCAGATGTTAGCGGTAATTTGGAGTCTGGCCTCCAGCAAAAACCGAGTGATGTGCTGCAAATATTCAATATTCACTCTCCTTCGAGCTGCACTTTGGCTCCCGTCGCTTCCTGGGGGAAATATCTGGCTCTTTAGCAGCTCGGTGTTTAGCTGTGTTCATTAGGCGCTCGCTAACTTTCCCCTGGCTTTGCATAGGCATTTGTTTCCTTTTGTGCATTTCCAGTATTGTGTGAGGAAGTGTGACTCAGCGTGAGTTGGCCCTTGACTTTACGGACGTGAATCAGAGGACTCCGAAGTCGTGGTGGTGCCGCTTGATCGCTGACTGTTTATCATATGTTGTTCCATTAGAGTGACATGATGCTGTCTGCTCCCTACATCACACCACACCATGTGATCTGCCTTTCACTCTAGGTATTGTTTGTTTCATCATCTTTGATTCTCTGCCACACATTTGCACATATAATCCATTTACATTATGGCTTTTGCTCCTCAAAACATATTCATTCCTTCCTGCCACCCCCCCCACCCTTTATTTTTCCTTCTACTTCAGTTTCCCGTTAAAATGACTAAATGTTCTGTTCTCCTTTATTCAGAACAGCAAGTCAGGATTTCTCTGAGGAGGTGTGCAAAATCTCTAAAGTGTTTTGTAACTTGATCTTTTTTCCACATTTTGTCATATTACAATCGCAAACTTCAACGTCTTCCATCGTGAACGTGCATTTGTATTCAGACCCTTTGTAGAACTGCTGCGTGTTGCGTTTATACTTCTACTGGTTTTGCACTGTAGTTCTTCTAAATGAAATAAATTCATCAATTTTCAGGCTTTGCCACTCGGTCTGTCACAATAACAAATATTGACTGGACGATAAATTGTCCCAGAAGTTAATGCGATAAACGATAATGTTGCTTTTGAAGCAAACTTTAACCAGATCATTCTAAATCTTGATGCTGTTTGTTGACTAGAGCTCGCTAACGATAACCTTGAGTCCTTCACACAACTACATAGGATTAGAGCCGATGGAGGAGGGGGGAGGGTGGATAGACACTTTAATCTCAGAATTCTGAGAATAAGTCAGAATTCAGTGATTGGTCAGAAATCTGAGAAAAACAATATTTCAGTGGTTCTAATCCTCTTCCTTACTGAGATGAAATAACACAGATGAACCTTCTACGTAATAATGACATCTAAAGAAAATTGGAAGTGCTGTTTTTTATGTCTCATCGTGAGGTTCGATGTTCAATTCTACTTTTAGACTTTGATTTTTAGTATTAATTATTGTCCCTTTTTGTGGCCTGAAGTTCTTGTTTCATGTCAGTAATCTGTCAGCTCTGTTATCCTTGTTGCTGAGTTTTGTCACTTTTGGCCAAAGAGTTTCTCCCATAGTTGTATTTTGATAGGCTGTGTGAAGTCGTTTTGTCATTTCATTCAGTAACTTCCCCTCAGCTCTTCAGTGCTCTGTTTTCCTCACAGCTATAGCCTGTTGTTCGTTAGTCTCACCTGTTTTGCACCCAGTAATCACCAAACCAGCTTCCCTTCATGTATCGCCGTCTGTATTTCTCCTCTTAATCAATTCTGGCTCCTCCATTTCCTGATGGACTTATTACCTTGGTTACTGTTTTAAGTTTCCTCATCATTATGATTATTATTGTTATTATTTTTCAATCAAATATCTGAGTCGTTGGAACCCTCCCAGGTTATTGCCTACATTTGGGTGAGCGACTTGCACAACTTGTGACACTGTTGTTAGCAGTTTGCAAATGAAGCTTTATGAAGCATGTGAATCATGCTGCACATTGTACCCACATGTACATCTAGACCCCAAACGTGTTTTAACTTGAGCGGCCAGACGTGGTTGTAAGAAATGTAGTATTTGAAAGAACATTGCACCAAAAACTCACAGGTCTTCAAAATAAAAAAAAAAGAAAAAAAAGACCAACAAGGTTTATTTTATGTTCATGAAAGTAAATTAGTTGGATTTTTA